TTTGTACTGAAAGAGTTGAAGGAAGTGAATAGGAAGGATCCCAAAGAAGAAGAAGTCAACCCTGAGCTCAAAAGATTTAGTGAAATACCTACTCTGAACTTAGAAAGTTCATACGCACCTCCTAAGAAGGAACAAGAAAGATCACTCCACCATTTTCCTCAAAAGCTTCAAAAAAAAGAATTGGATAAAAAATTCTCTAGGTTCTTATAAATGTTTGAGAAACTTACAATTAATATTCCTTTTGTTGAAGCCTGATAGAAAATGCATAGCTATGTAAAATTTATGAAAGTTATTCTCAACAAGAAAATGAAGCTAAGAGACTATGGACTGTAGCTCTAACAAGGAGTGTAGTATCATAATCCAAAAAAGCTTCCCCACAAACTTAAGGACCAAGATAATTTTACCTAGGACCAAGAGAAGTACATCCTACAACTTTAATCCTTCAACTTGCTGTTGGCCAACCTTTGAATTACCCTAGGGGTTATAGATGATGTTTTAGTAAATGTAGATAACATTATCTTCCATGCAGCCTTCATAGTCTTAAATATAAAAGAAGATAATGAGATCTCCATAACTTTAGGAATACCTTTTTAGCCACGGGTTGGGCGATTGATGTGCAAAAGAAGGAATTAATTATGGGGGTTAACAATCAAGATGTTACATTTAGGCCATCTTCGAGATCACTTTCTGTTTTCTATTTTAATTTTTATTTTAAGTCTGCTTTGTTTTTATTTTATTTTTTGTTCTCTGTTTTCAAAAAACATATTTTGGCACAATTATGATTTATATGTAATTAGAAACATAAAATATAAAACATTTTTGGTTGAGTATTTCTATTTTTTTAAAAGAAAAAAATTATACTTTTTATGAAGTTAAGCAGATTTATTATAAGGATTTTATAATTATTAAGTTAATGAATAAATTATTAATTGAAGTTAAATATTTAATAAGTTTTAATTATTAAGTTAATCAATTTAATTTTATAATTATTAATTGAAATTAAACAATTTATTAGTTTATAATTATTACATTAATTATGTTAATTAATTAAATTAATATATATTTAATTTTATAATTATTAAGTTAACTAATTAAATTATTTTATTTAATTAAGTTATTAATATTTTATTAAGTAAATTAATTAATTAAATTATAATGATTAATTTAATTATTTAAATAATTAATATTTTATTTGAACTATTATAGGTTTAATTGATTAACTATTAAGTTAATTAAGTATATTTGTTATTTAAATTTTATAATTACTAAGTTAATTAATTAAAATATTAATTGAAATTAAATAATTAATAAGTTAATTATGTTAATTAATTAAATTATTAATTAATTAAATTTTTTATTTTTTAAGTTAAGAAATGCTTGTAAGGTTTCAATAACAAAAAAAAATGTTTAGGATTTAATCCATAGAATAGAAAAGAGGAAAATCTCTTTAATCCGCTTAAAATCTCTTGACTAATTTTTTTTTTAAATTAATTAAATTTTTTATTTTTTAAGTTAAGAAATGCTTGTGAGGTTTCAATAACAAAAAAAATGTTTAGGATTTAATCCATAGAACAGAAAAGAGGAAAATCTCTTTAATCTGCTTAAAATCTCTTAACTAAATTTTTTTTTTAAATAGAAGTTTTTTAAAAAATAAAAATAACACATGTATCCCAACTATGCTTAGTTAAGATCCTTTCGATATAAAAATTAAATAGGAAAAAGTAATCATTTAAAATGAGTTGGAAGTTGTTATTAAGAGCTCAAGCCTTTAGATAAATTCTAGTAGAGCCTCATAAAAGAATGCTTACAAATGTATTGGCCATTTAGATATAGTGACCACTTTTAAGAGCCCTCATAAAATTCCTCTTCAATGAAGTTGATCACCTCATTATAACTTTGAACAAGGACCGCTAGGAAACCCTTCCATGTAAGGTTTTGGGATGTGATTAGATCTATCTAGTTAAAGCCATAAATAGAGGCAAGAAGAGAAAGGATTAATGACATGGCAAAGTGAATTTTGTTAGTCTAAAAAAATTGTAGAGGGAGGAGGATAACCTTATCAAAAGGGCTCTCTAAGGGAGGTGAAGATGATTTCATCTTGTGGGAGCTATCCCTCAACCAAGATTGAAAGAAAAGAGGGCAAAACGAAAGCTAATGGAGGATCTCAAGTTGTCCATGCAGGGTAATATAATTAAAAAGGAAAAGGAGAAAAAGAAGCCATAGAGTCAAACCTTTGTAAATGTTGATTCTAAAACTGTTTGGGAAACACGACTAAGAAATAGAGCGCGGAAGGATGAGAGAGGGAGAAGAAGAGCACAAACATAATAATGAACAATAGGGTAATATAATTAAAAAGGAAAAGGAGAAAAAGAAGCCATAGAGTCAAACCTTTGTAAATGTTGAATCTAAAACTGTTTGGGAAACACGACTAAGGAATAGAGCGCGGAAGGATGAGAGAGGGAGAAGGAGAGCACAAACATAATAATGAACAATAGGTTTGTGTAACCTTTATTCATGAAATGAACCCCCTATTTATATACATGGGTCATCATACAATTATACATTGTACCACTGGAGTATGTAGGTATGTTGAGAGCATTTAAGTCTATACATACATATAACCTGCTGGGAGGAGCCGTGTCACCGTGTGGCCACTAGGCTTGGCAAACTATGAGGTCGGGCGACCAATGGGTCTGCCAACAATTTAAGTCGGGGGTCATTAGGCGGGGCGGCTTTTAGGGCGTGTGGTCAGTAGGTCGACCGACTGTTAAGCCAGTCAGCATATGCTGGGGGGTCTGCCAACAATTTAAGTCGGGGGTCATTAGGCGAGGCGGCTTTTAGGGCGTGTGGTCAGTAGGTTGACCGACTGTTAAGCCGGTCAGCATATGCTGGGATATGCTGGGGCCGATGCTTGTTACTTTGGGACTGATGCTAACTTTAGAAACCGATGCCCTCTTATTTGTGTTGGAGGCATTATCCTCCCGGTATGTGAGAGCTGACTGACCAAACACACCGTTTTAGATAGTCTTTGGAGGGCTCCACGATTGCTAGATATCTTTAGGATTTGTGCTTGCACATTTTTAATGAACAATGGTTGGTATGTGAGAGCTGACTGACCAAACACACCGTTTTAAATAGTCTTTGGAGGGCTCCACGACTGCTAGATATCTTTAGGATTCGTGCTTGCGCATTTTTAATGAAAAATAAAGCCCTCTAGAGTTTGGTTCACACGTAATGTTTTTGTTTTATTAATAATCTTAAATAGCTTATTTTCAAACTTATTTAATAAAATAACTTTCGGTCACATAAGTAACATAAATTTATTTAAAGAGAGTTTTAACATCATACATGGTCTGGTCCCTGGATACTTTCTTCAGCATTGAAATGTCCCAGACTAGAAATGCATATTTATTTTATGCTAATTCTCTCCACTTATGATTGATTGGTCAAAATTTGTTACATTGATAGGCTCTGTAAGAACTTCAAATTTCTGTCTAAAGCGTGAACAATTAAAACAAATTATACATAACTAAATAAATGAAGCCGTATTTTAAAAATTAAGTAAATAATATAATTTGCTTATAACTATAGAATATAGTCAGTACTTGATATCTTATCTTATTCATAAAAAATATTCTCAATTAAACTCGCATTAAATCCAATCTTAGCTTGTGAACGCGTTAAGTTGTTTATATCCCTTCCCATCCGGTCGCCGGTTCACCTGTCACTCAGTCACCCAATCTCTGCAACGAACTCCGCCGCTTTCCCTTCAAGAATTATACCAAAAGGAAGGACCTGACGTCCCCGACGGCCAGTTCTCCGACAGGGATTAGGGTTCCTCAATTCCTTTCCCTTTCCATTCCATTACGCAACGCATAATTCCGCCATGGGATTCTATTCCTTACTAATCAGTTAAATTCACTCTCAGCCAGACGGACGCTTCGAATAGGGCTGGCGGAGAAAAGCGGGGGATTGAAATTAGTGTTGTTCTTTCTGTTATCTTTCTTCTTTCTTGGGGCTTTGTGGTTTCAGATCTGACATTGGGGGATTTGGCAGCTGACAAGCAAATGTCTTACATGGACGGCGCTGTCCCTTCGATCCCCGCCAAGTTCAAGTCGGAGAAGTCGCACCATCTCCATCATCATCGTCTTCTTCGCTGGCACAACTCCTCGTTTCCCAAGCTCCTCGCCTTGTCTTTCTTCGCCGCCGCTATCCTGTTTGCCTTCTTTTTTATATCCCCGCATTCCACCGCTGTCTCGCGTTCTTCCTCTGCAACCGAGCGGCGATCTCTCCGCACCTCTTCCTCGGCAGGCTGGGGTGGCCCCGAGTGGGAGAAGCACGTGCGCTCCTCCGCACGCATTCGGCGTCGTCCTGTGGGCATCTCCGTGCTTGTCACTGGCGCCGCTGGCTTTGTGGGCACTCATGCTAGTAGTGCTCTCAGGCGCCGTGGCGATGGCGTGGTAGGTCTAGACAACTTTAACAATTACTACGATCCCACCCTGAAACGCGCCCGCCAGGCTCTCCTCTCCAAATCTGGCGTCTTCCTGGTCGAGGGTGACATCAATGATGCCCTCCTACTTAGCAAGCTCTTCGACCTCGTCACCTTCACTCACGTCCTCCACCTCGCGGCTCAGGCTGGCGTCCGATACGCGATGGAGAATCCCGGATCCTACGTTCATAGCAATGTAGCGGGCCTTGTTTCCATTCTCGAGGCCGCGCGCTCTGCTGCCAACCAGCCGGCGGTTGTGTGGGCATCCTCTTCCTCAGTGTACGGTCTCAACACCCAAATACCCTTCTCGGAATCCCACAGAACCGATCGCCCGGCCTCCCTCTACGCCGCCACAAAAAAGGCCGGGGAGGAGATTGCGCACGTATATAATCACATCTACGGCCTCTCCATTACCGGCCTGCGGTTTTTTACAGTATATGGTCCTTGGGGCCGCCCTGATATGGCCTATTTCTCCTTTACAAGGGACATTCTTGCTGGCAAGCCCATCACCATCTTTGAAGGCTCTGATGGGGCCACGATTGCGCGCGACTTTACGTACATTGACGACATTGTACAGGGTTGCCTTGCATCTCTGGATACCGCACAGAAGAGCACGGGCAGCGGTGGGACAAAGAAGGGGCCAGCTCAGTTCCGTATCTTCAACCTTGGTAACACCTCCCCAGTACCTGTAGTTGAGCTTGTCTCCATTCTTGAGCGCCACCTCAAGATGAAGGCCAAACGTAAGGTTGTCAAAATGCCAAGGAATGGAGACGTTCAGTTTACTCATGCAAACATCAGTTTGGCGAAAAAAGACCTCGGATATCATCCGAAAACTAACCTCCAGACGGGTCTGAAGAAGTTCGTGAAATGGTACCTAGCCTACTACGCTCCTCCTTCAGGATCATACTTGACCAAGAAGGATAGAGGCCGCAGCAGCAGCTCCAGCTGATGTTAAAAGCAGACGGGTCAGAATTGCTTGCTTTGTACTTACCCGAATTCCTAGTTTATGAAATTTTGATTACATCGAACTCTTTCTTCTACTACTTCTTCTTCTTCTTTACCTTAGATAATGAGTTATTATTTGCTATTTCTTTTGAACTAGGTTCTTTTATTCTCAATCTTCCTAATCATTTACGGAGAGAATAGGTGACTGGAGTGTGGAAGAGAAGGGTATTGAATTCGAGGTGTTTCTTGTTTCCAGGATATTATCATATTCTTGATCTTTAATATAAAAGGAAGAAGGAATATAGTTCTTTCTGCTGCTCCTTCTGTTGTGTCTTCTTGTTTTTTGTTTTTTTAATTTATTCAAAACTAAGATCCAAAGATCAGCAGTGCCTCTTTTCTTTTGTAGCCTTTTCTTTTAGATTGGATTGTAAATGAATTCTGAGTGTAATTGGTTATCGATTTCGGTTTTAAACCATATTTTGATGAGCACTTTATCCAAAGAAATGGACAGCTTACTTTGGGTTTATTGATTTCTCTTTTTGAAGATGATTGTGTTCTTGTTTGTTGGCCCCTGCTTTTGTATTAAAGTTCATGGGTGGAAGCAGGAAAGGAAGGCCTGGAATTATCAAGTGTTGGCTATAACGTGCTACAACTGTCCATCGTGCATTCTACTAAGCATATTTTCTTATGTTAAAGATGTAGCTTTTTTTAATTATATATCATTCATTTCAGAACTGATGTAGATATCATTCTTTTCAAAACTGGTTTTGCCTCATGTGGAAATTTGATTATTGTTTTCAAGGAACTTTCAGTTAATTCATTTGTTTGTTCGAAGTTTTAAGTTTTGCATTGTTCCTTGAAATCTTTTGTAGTTACCATGAACTTCAGTCTACAACTTTCTTTGCAGGAGACATTTATTCTATGTTTTATTATTTTGATTCTAAGTTAGTTTTCAACCTATAATTCCTTAAGCTATTGGTTCAGAGGCAACCTGGCAAGTATTATGATTTGTCAAGCTGTTTTTCTGTAATTTAAATTGGAGGATGTTGTAAAAGCAACACTTGTCCATATTGATGCTTTCTGGTTAAAGAACATAGTTTCATAAACCTTACCATGACAATGTTCATAGTTCTAACTTTTGTGAGAGTGTCCTTTTGGGTACCACAATCCCTTACAACCAAATGGCCAAGGTATGGTCACATATATCTGAACAAAAATCATAAATAAAATGGTCTGCTTCGTAGTTGTGAATGGATCGAGATGAATATGAACTTAATTATCTATAGGCTGGTATTATAGATTTTTTGTCGCAAAAAATGCTTGATATATTAAAGATAACAGAAAAGATATGCCTAACTTAGTTTGCTATAGTTTCAAACGAGACATATATTTCTTGGATTTATGATGTTTGGACCTGCTCATAATGAAGGTGTTTGATGTGATGGTAGAAAATAATATATTTGAGTAATATATTAATAAATGATAAGGCGTATAACCTTGTTGAAGAATAAATATAGCAAAATAATATATCTTACTTGTGTGCCTATGTCACGATCCGACCCGGGAGTTTGGAATTACCCAGCGGGAATTGTTGGTGATCGAACAACACCTGCTTCACAATGTCATAACAAGTAAATTTGTTTCATTTTCTTAATAGTTAAGTTAAATATAACTTAACATGCTATTATTATAATCTCCACTCCTTATAAAAATTTAGTCATCAAAATTTAGAGTACAATAATAGATCTCATACCTTAGATTCTTTCTCCCTGGTAGCATCTATTTCAGTCTCGTGCATTCATAATGCACAAAGAGAATGAATCTATTTATTTCTGAGTTGCTTCACATTATAATCTGTGATTCTTTCTGTTCATCCACAAATGTCTGGTTAGGTTGAGTATTTATGGGGTTTGTAACAATTTTACTGGCCTCATCAACAATATATTTCCACAGTAAAGATATGAAAAACATGTATCTCATAATATGACAACTTTCCCATTCTTCTCCGCAATCTTATACGAACCAACATATTTTTGGCTCAACTTCTCAAACTTTCCAAATCGCTTAACACCTTTCATAGGACTTGCATTAAAAAAAAAAAATTATCCTAATTGAAAATCAATTGATTGGTGCTTAGCATTATAATACTTCTTCTACCTATCTTGAACTACTCTCAACCTGTCACGTTCAATAAAATCTTCTCAATAGTTTATCAATCAAATCTTCAAAAGAGCTTGATCAACTAACTCAACACAAATTATTTTTCTTTCACCCGTTTCTGCCCAACAAAAAACTGTCCTTCATTTTCTTCCATAAAAGTCTTCATAAGGAGTCATATCAATATTGATCTGGAAGCTGCTATTGTAAGCAAATTATGTCAAAGGTATATACATTTCTCAACTTCCATCAAAAGTATGTACACAAAGTCTAAGCAGATGTTTTAATATTTGGATCATTTTTTTTAGATTGATCATCAGTATGGGGATAAAAAGTTGTACTGAACGCCGGTTGAGTGCCCAAATCCTCTTGAACTTTTCTTCACAATTTGGAAGTAAATCTATTATCTCTATCTTAAATAATTGATTTTAGGATCCATGTAATCATACAATTTTATTTGCATAAATTCTAGCCAACTCATCTACATAATCTATTTGTCTTATAAGCAAGAAATGTGCAAGCTTAGTCAGACGATCAATAATCACCCCTATGACAGGACGACTTTGCTTTGGTCTACGTAGCTTAATTATAAAATCCATAGCAATTTTCTCCAATTTTCACTCTGGTATATGCAATGCTTGTAATTGTCCACCAGGCCTTTGATACTCGGCTTTAACCATTTGACAAGTATTATATCTTGCTACGAACTTTGCTACATTACGTTTCAATCCTATCTACTAAAATAAACATTTCAATTCCTAATACATCTTGTTGCTTCATAGATGTACGGCGTATCTTGAATAATGTGCTTGATGCACAATTTCTTCACGTAAATTATTTGCATCAGAAATACAAATTTTATTCTTACGCCTCAACAATTTTTCTTTATTGATCTCAAATTTCTCAATCTGAGATATATTCAACTTGTTTAATTTTTTTGAAAACTCTACATCATGTGGTTATGCATCTCTTATTTTATCCTTCAAAATTTGCTGAATAAGCATATGATTTAACAGTGTAAAACTTTCATCATTTGGCACCATTGCTGATAACTACAAACATTCCATATCTTTAATTAGTTCTTCTAGCTGTGTAATTGCCTAGTTAGTTCTGCTACCTTTCAAGGTGGGAACTGTCAGTTGAATAGAGGAAAACTATCTAACTGTTTCATTTCATAATAAAATAAAATTCAAAACACAAAGGTGCCATTTTATTTATTAAATTTCAAGTTACAACAAGTTCATACAAATATTTAAATATCTACACTTGACAAAAAATAAAAACTAACATGTAATACCTATGAACCTATGCTCCTCGATGCTTGTACACGTACTCTCTAAAATCCATCAAGTCTGAAACTGATTTTCAATGTTAGTAAATGAATGTTTGAGTTAAACTACTCAATGGATAAATGTTTCTAAATTATAATAATAATTATTTTTAAAATATTTAGTAAAATATTGTAAATAGTAAAAAAACTATGAGAAGTTAAAAGAAAGCAATAAATAAGACAGTTTTTTTTACTTTACTTTATTTATGTTACATTTTTCATTATTAAGAGTCACCGTCTAAACATATATTTTAAAAAATACATGTTTAATCTTTTTCAACCTACCATAAATGTAGATATCTTTTTTTCTTTTTTTTTAATTTTCGTGCATGAGTATATTACATTCCTCTGTTGTACTATCCAAAGGTGACTCTCATGCATATGCATATGTCAAATTTTATTTCTTTTCTTCTATTCAACATTTTAAAAACATGATTTTTTGTATTTTAAAAGAAATGTTGGAAATAGTAAAAACATGTGTAATTGCTTTCATAAATAATCAGAATTATTGTAAAATAAAAACATATTTATTCATCTTTACGATGTAATCTGAAGTCTACTGTCCTATTCCTTAGGTGAAATTTGTCCTTAAGTGCATCTAGTATAACAAATTAGCCCATATTATCCTCTATCAGTTTTATTTTTCTTTCTCATGAATTCTGATATAATTACGTATACAATTTTCATTTGTCTTTTGTCTAGTTAAATCATCAATTTAAGTGACTTTCCAATAAGGCATGTAACATGTTTGTAGTTAGAGAAATGTAATTAAGCTTCTAAACTTAGGATTTAGGGATCTTAAAATTTTAATTTATTTTTACATTGATTAATTATGCTAAAAATTTTAATCTTGGGTTTTTGGAAATTTCAATTATTTAAAATTAAGTACTTAAAATTTCTTACCTTAAGCCCTTAATACCTTTTTGTCGAGCCTTTTTGTCATTGAAACATATCCTTAAGTTTTTGATAGAGCTTCTTCTGCACAATCTTTCCCTTCCTCCCTCACACTGGAAACGAAATGGGTGGGGGCTTGTGTGAGCTGCTCGCCTCCTACCCACCTCTTTGATGATAAATTAGGGCGCATGAAACCCCTATCTTGTTTGATTTGCTCACACCCTCAAATGTCTCATGCGTGATTTTGTTTGGTCTTTCCTTCCCTCCATTTGCTGTGCGTGGCAATCAACAGAGCCGCTCAAGCCTTTAGGTGCTCGATTGAACATCCTCCACAAGAAGAAAATTTTCCCCGTGCTGCTCCAGCCCTTATGCACTCGGTTCATGCGGAGATAGAGGAATGAGGCATCTCTCGAGTGTGGTAAGTACCTCACTCCTTGAGCGTGGTAAGTACCTCGCTCTCGTTGTTTTGGAATTTCTTGTACCACTCTCTCATTCTTTTTCACCTTCTTCTTCTTCTGCTTATTATTCTTCTTCTTTCTTTCTTTCTTCTTCGCTGGCTCTCACTGAGAGAGCCAGTCCTCTTTCGAGTTCGAATTGGAAAGAAATGAGGGGATAAGCCCTCGTAGACTTTCCTATGGG